ATGAGCGGGGTGCCGTTCATGCGGCTTACGCGATAGACCGAGTTCGCATCTCTTACCACATTTTGTAGTCTAGACAAAAACATTGTACCTACAAACTTTTCATAACCGACAGATTGATTCGATAAACTCTCTCTACTCTTTGAATTAGGCTCTTTTTAATCAAAAATAGGGCAGAGATTTCAGAGTAGCATTCACTTTTCGTCAATGATTAGTTCTAGTTGAATCGTGTTGTCGTATACATAGGGTGCCCCTCGACAGAGGCGTATTACTCATAAACTCATTATCATATCGGTGGCAACACCAGGCGGCACACGGGACACTGGAGCTTGTACTTCATCCACAGCTCCAAGCACTCGGCGTGGAAGATGTGGTGGCACGGCGTGATCATGTAGTCCTTGTGGATGTTGGTCGGAGCCACTTGCGGGTCTTTCACCACCGGCAACGTCAACAGCGTCATGCAGATAGGACACATACACTGGCAGTTGACAATACCCGGAGGGGCGGGCTCGTCGTCACCCAGTTTGATCCCTTCCAACACATCCAGAGAAAAGTTCAGCTCAAGATCCAGCATGGTGATGGTGGGCTGGTAGTCGAATGCCTTGGGGAGGAACTTGTCGTGGATCCAGAAGCGGGCGCCCAACCGTTTTTGCAAGTACAACAATAGCCATTGCGTGATAAGCCAGGCGGTGGTGATGGCCACCTCCATCGGGTCGTAGGCATGGCGAAGCGGGTTGTTGCGGTAGAGACACAAGTAGGCGAGGCAGATGATGCGAATGAGCAGGATGCCGACGACAAACTCCCATGAGAACGCCTGGCGCCGGTTTTTAAGGGTATTGCGGAGGAACTGGGGGATCCAGTACAGGTTAGTGATGAGCACAAACAAGTACTCGGCGATCTTGCGGTAGCGGTAGCGCCAGCCAATGACGTTTACCCCGACAAACATCGTCACGAGAGCACTGAACAAACACAGCCCCACGACGGAGTTGAAGAGCCCCGCTTCTTCCGAAGACAGACCAAATCCAGGACCAGGAGCCGGTTCGGGTTCCGCTTGGCCACCTTCACCACCAGCAGCATCGCCGCCAGCTTCAACATCGGCTTCGTCTTCCCGTTGTTCTCTCGTACCTCCTCGAAGAATGTTCCACCACGAAATGCCCTGTTCGTTAACTTGGATCATAAGCACCAGCGTCATAAATCTTAAGTCTAGGATGCCACAGGTAAATGATACTACCAGCACCCCGGCGAGCACCAAGTAGATATCGCCGTATACCAGCAGCAACAACCAGAAGCCAATGGTGACAAGCGTGTTTTGGTAGGCCAACATGAACAACGTGCGGGCCAGCACCGTCAGCAATTGGCCTGGAGTCCGCATGTGGCGCATTTGGCGTAAGTAGAGCCCAAGCTGAGCGAACATAAGCACTAAGAACCCCGCCAACATGTGTCTGATCCCTCGAGCTGCCACCAGCGTTTTCGTCCCTTCCACTAACCCATCCAGAGCGTAGGCCACCCCACAGTCAGGCAGGTAGAGCAAGAATTGCGACACCTCCAACGGGGGCAATTTCCGAGGTAAAGGGCGCCCCACGGGACGAGCTAACTCGTCATCAATCTCCCGCAACTCGTCCCGCGAATACTCGGCGGGAGCAAGCTGGAAGTAGCCGACAAACTCGCACTGTTCGAGTGCTCCCAGTGCTGCCAGGCGAAGCTGGTCGATCAGGGCGTCATCGTTATTGGTATAATTAAGGTACTCGTTAACAAGCGCTTGGGAGCGGTTGAACCCACCAAACAGCAACTGAGGAAGCGCGTAGGGGCCCATAAATTTAGCCAGGTCCGTCACCGCAACCATCAGCCCCAGGTCTTGAAAATATACCCCCAGCATGTAGATGGCGTTAGCGTCGCCATCACCTTCATCTTTGAGGTACACTCTAACGTCAGCAGGCACGGCGTCGTCAATGGGCGTCACTGATGTCTTGGGGTGCCATTTATAGTTGTAATCGCGGTTCAGAAACTGGAGCGACACTTTACCATGGTCGACGCTCATGTTGCCCACTTTTTGCACTGGCGGCTGAGGCCGTTCGGGAGCGGTGCCCAGATCGGGATCGTTGTCGTAGCGTTGCTTTTCCTCATCGTACTTGCGCTGGGTGTACTCCTCATAAAACTTTTGCACGTACTTGGGCATTTCGAGCGGCACCCGTTTAAAGTAGTGGGCGGTGGCCCAGTGGCCATCGGCTGAGCCCGATATGTTAAGCAAGTACGGCAGCAGCGGGTCAGCCGCCCACCACTGGCGCACCGACTCCAGCACCTTATCTGGAAGGATGCTATCGCGCTGGTTATCGTTGTGGAACGGGTGGTCGGGACTGAATTCGTGTAACGGGTAATCTGACTGGTTCTTGCCGTCGACCCAGTCCTGGTACAGGAGCTGGAACCCCGTGAGGTTGCCGTAGCCCTGCCAGGGCTCTAGCGCCGCCATTTGCTTCTGGTTGGTCTGCCGCTGGCGGAACCAGGTGGAGAGCGCCTCCTGTTCGTTGCCGTTGTGAGGAGCTTCATTCCCGCTGGGTAGAAGGAAGAAGATCACGAGCAAGAACGTGATGAAGAAGAAGTCCCTGTCGACCATGGAGTGGAGCCTTGTGCGAGTGCGATTTATCGTGGGCTGATGTGGAGGTGTGTGGGGACACAATGACAAGAAAAAGCTTCAAATTGGATGATTAAAAGTTTGGAATGATTGTCTAGACGTGTGCTAAAGCTATAATCACTTAAAATTCTTGAAAATAGGACCTATGGCGGTGTTTTCGTACCCTTACGATGATTTAGTGGCGGTCGCGGTGGCGCTATCGGTGGCGATCTCCGAGTCGGGGTTCCGGTGGCGGGAGTGACGGCACGGCTTGCGATGTGAGCAAAAACGATGAGTCTTTTAGGGTTATGGTAATGGGAGTTTGCTACTACTAGAACTGCCCTTTATCTACGGGAATGTTTATCCGCTTGGCTGATTTAGGCGACCGCAATTTGCTATCGCCCCCCCACCCATTTGGAGCCATGGACGCATCCCAATCACCACTACTGTGGGGTACAAATATAAATCCGACGGTCAATTATCTCCTCTATCATATCTCGTATCACCACGACAACGGTGTCTCGGCAAGCGTCGACCCGGGTAATCTATCGCCCCACTCTTGGTTCGCGAAATTTTCACACCATGCTTCGGATCAGTCGCCGGTGGCTCTCGCTCCGGTTCTTCACCAAAGATGGGTGCAAGCTCTGCTCGGACGCCGACGGTGTGTTGACGACGACCCTCAAACAGTTCCCCCAGGTGCCGCTCGAGAAAATCGACATCACCGACCCGGCCAACCAGGAGTGGTTCGACAAGTACTGCTTCGACGTGCCGGTGCTTCACGTGGAGCGGGACGGGGAGGCGCCAGTAAAGTTCATGCACTACTTCCACGAGGATAAGATAGCCGGCGAGTTGAAGCGATAGCAGGGCCGCGATAGCAAATAAACACGCAACTTTAATTACCGAACGAGATAGCCATGTGAACCCATATCACCGGTGGAAATTGCTTGGCTGGATAAACTGTATCGGGCCAGGGAATATTCCGAGAGGCTTAGCTAGTTGAAGAAAAAAAGAAGAGAGGCGGGCAGTCAACGCAGCGTACAGTGCCTGGTCCGCCTTGGATCAACGATTTGCATAGGGTCGGCGATTCCCGAGTTTTTTTTCTCGCAGAGGCGGCGGCACTAAGCCCTATCCAGCAACGCCCTCAATTTGCCATCCTCCAATGGCAGCTGTCGGGCCAGCGCCGCGGGCCACGGCGTCTGAGACTAATCTAAGCCTTTGTGTCACCGACCGGGCCGCTACCGGGAGCGATATATCGCGCTGATAAGGGCTCACTAGCGGCCGTTATCACTCAGTTTATTTTGGCGCGTTAGGCCCTTATGCACTCCCCGGACATTAACGAACTGTGACAGGCGTAGCAAAGGCAAACGGTATATAGAGGCTGCCTTTAAGCCCGCTTTTGGGAATGCATAGCTGTCGATGGGCGAAAAACACGCCACGGTGTCGCTGAAGGCCTCGGTGCTGTCCCACGTCGTCAGCGGGCTGACCCCGCCCTCAATGGAGAATAACGACGACAGCTACGCCGAAATCCACCAGCAGGTCTGGCGGAAAGGTGATCTCCAGCTGGCCAACGGCGGCTACGCCAACCCGGGACTGGAGCCGTACCCGGTGCTCAAGATGAACCCGGCACCGTTTGGGCTTGCCGGGTTTTCCTTTTCGACATTGGTGGCTCTGCTCTATACGGTGCACGCTAAAGGCATCCACATTAATCTGGTATTTATCGGCATGGCGTGTTTCTTTGGCGGCGCGGGGCAGATGGTCACGGGGATCTTGGAGATGTGCAACGGCAACACGTTCGGGCTGACGACTTTCTGTAGCTACGGCGCCTACTGGATCGGGTATGGGTGTCTCTTTATCCCGTCGTTTGGGGTGCGGGCGGCGTATACTGACGAGCACGAGTGGAACCAGGCTCTAGGGCTATATCTTTTAGGGTGGGCGCTATTCACGTTTATGTGTACGCTAGTGACGCTACGGTCGACGCTTGGGCTCTTTGGCCAGATGCTATTTTTAGGGCTTAACTACTTAGTGTTGGCGATTGGCTGTTTCACCGAAAGTGACGGCGTCAATATCGCTGGCGGCGTCGTCGGGATCATCGCCGCCGTCTTCGGTATGTGGAACATGGTGGCCGGCATTGCCACCCCTTATAACTCGTACCTCATCCCTCACCCAGTGAAACTCCCTCGCTACGGTGAGCTTAGATAGACACCACTGCATCAACCTAATACAAATCAAACTAGAGTATCTTGGGATGACGGCCTCAGTTTGAGGCTAGTCTTTTAGCAATTGAGCAATGTACACGACTGTAACCAAGCTGAGTAAGTGTATGAGAAAGATGTGTATTCTATAATATAGATCACGCGACGCAGTCTAGCCTCACTTGGCCTTCACCTGGTGAACCGTCAATGGTTCTTCAACATAAAATTGTGTTAATGGTGGATTCTTAGCATCCCTTAAAACCCGAGATTTTCCTACATTTAACTGTTATGTCATGTCATGAGCAAAGCCCGATATTTATTACTGGTATGAGGATTCATCGACCATGAGTCGTATGAAGATATTCAATCCACTTAGATCGAAGTGGGGTAGGCGGGGATGTCTTCGCAGGGCATGCAGTGCGACGACGAGGTGGCGCCCGAGGGGATGGGGCCGTTGTATTTGATGGCGTTGTTGTTGAGGTTGAGCCAGCCGAACTTGTGGTTGACGATCTCGAACTTCGAGGCGTCGTAGCCGGTCCCGATCTTGAACTTGACGTAGATCAATGGCGACGTCCAGAGGGTCAAGGTGTCGTCTTCGTACTTGAACTTCCACACCAGCAACTCGGTGCCGATGACGTTGCCGTTACCGAAGCCGGCGACGGTGAAAGGGTTCTTGGGCTTGACGCCGGCGACCTGCAATTGGGCGTTGTCCGAGTCCAACACAAACGTCTGGGTGGTGTCGATGTGGTACAAGGGGGTGTGGAGCTTGATGGCGGAGTCGTTCTGGGCTCTGATGCACCCGGTCCCGTAGATTCTCGTTTGTTGCGAGTAGTCCTCGTTGTAGAAGCAGATGCCCCCGTTGTTGGTGATGGAACCACCCGCGGCACCCAAGTACACGGTGCCCGAGGTTCTGCGCTTCTGGTAGAACGAGAGGAACCCGTTGTTGGTCCACTTGGCCGCGGTCAAGAAGGTGGTGGGGGAGCCGGCGGAGGCGTCGCCGCCCAAGAACATCTTACCCGACTCGGTGTTGTTGAACGAGACACCAACAAGGTTGTACACAGGGGGGAAGTTCGATTGGATCGAGTTGAAGGCGATGATCCCGTTGTTCTCGACTCTGCCGGTCAAGTTGATCTTCAACCCCAGGCTGATCTTGTCGCTGGAGATGTAGAAAGCGGCGTCTTTGGCCACGGTCAAGGCGCCGGTGAACGACGAGAAGTGGTTGTTGATGATTGACCAGAACTTGCCGGGGAAAATGGTGGTGGGCCCGGAGGTGTCAAAGTTGATCTCCCCTTCGTCGGAGATCTTGTTGGTCATAATGACTTCGGCTTGAGCCAAAGCGAACAAGGCAAGCAACCACTGCAAAAGCATCTTTGTTTTTGGTTGGTCTATTGATGAGAAACAACCACCACTTAAATACTCGTTAACAGCGGCTCTGCTAACTGCTTTTCGTCATAATTAGAACAGCTGCAGCCTGCATCGTCAGTATCATCTAAGGACTTAGCGCTTCGTTACGCGTTTGCGTCTGCGGTGCAAGGTTTCGGATTTACGGATCATGTGCGACTTTTCCTTGTACTCCGTGAGCGGGAACATTAGCATATACTTACAGCATTAGTATATACACCTGAATGATCTTATTCGCACTGCTGAACACGTTCACAAAGGTGATCTAAACTTACACAATCATTGCTTGTCAAAAGAAATTTCTGAAGATCGCGATCCATAGTAATTCACTTGCTACGAAATTTCAAATGAATTCAAAAAGAACTACGCCGCATAAAATAATTATGCATCACGCGCAAAAAGAATTTTTTGGAGATGCAAGTGCAAGATTCCTGCCATGCAGAACTAGACCATACACGACGCAGATCAACATCGGCACGTTCGCGTGGATACCCGGACAGGTATATCGTCGCCGCTGCATGCACGCGGCGAGATATTTCTGGGGGTTCACGTTCCGATGGCGCATACTTATCGCGAGACCCTTAATTGTGGGCCCACTACTAAGGAGTACCGACATTGAACGTGGTGAGATCGTTTGATTTTATGTAAAGAATCCAGCAAAGAACACGGCGACAGATCGAAAGGTCAGTAACTTTTTGATTCCTACTTGAAATCAAATCCCGAAGGCTTTTGTATCGTACACATGCAATTGGGATTACTCATGCTGCACACGCTCAAACAATACAACTTGATGAAACCAGTGTACAGGATTAATTACAATTACGATTATTCTCTTAATGCTGTAGCGGACCGTAAGTCCGATATTATATCCGTCCGTTATCAACGGAATGCCTTACAATTGCCGTCATATTCAACTTTCATTGTTGGATCTGACGTGTACTGCCAGCTTTTTAACCGAGGTCAAATCAAATATTCAACTCAAGCCTCAAACCTCAAGTAGCAAACCAATAATTCGTTTCAGTTGAGGCTCACATGTCGAGCCAAGATTTAATCCCAACTTGACGATGAAGCGTCTGTATGCTTGTGAAACCGCATACAAGATCGATCTTGTGGAAGACTTTTTGAGTGTTACCTCATCGTCCAGACTAGGTAAAGTCGTTAGCTTAACTGTACAGAATATCACTGTGACTTGTTTTATTAATCATGGGGTTCAGTCCATTGAGTTTCTTTGTGACAACATATAATTCAAGCAAAGAGTTTGCCGATGCGACGCTAACTTTGTGAACAATAGAAAATGGAAGTATGTCTACATGTGGTAAACAATGACAAAAAGTAGTTTGGGTCATCATATAAGAGAAATATATCTCGATGAAGTGGAGCTGTACTCCAATAGAGCTGAAAACAATAGAACTTAACACTCGCTCGCGAGTGCTAGTTAGTTTGTTTTAGCCAAATGTAGTCACTAGCATCAATATAAATATTTTGCACATGAGTCAATTGATGGAACAGCCTTCTTGAATGAGCAAACGAATTCGGTCAATCACAATATTGAAATGCTAGTAGGAGTAAAAGTTTTAAAGTTCAAACAGTTCATTGTATTAAAGGGTATTCAAGTAAGTTGACTACAAAAAGAGAGGCAATGCACCCATGAGGGCGATGGCCAAAGACGATCTGGTCAATTTGGAACCAGCGCCAGTAGCAACAGGGATTTCAGGAGTGTCCGACCCGGCAAGCAGAGTGGTGGGGGCAACGTTGATGGTCAGCTCAATGGCAGTGGTAGCTTGAGCTTCAAGGGAGGTCAAAGTGGCCGACAGCTCAACATCTTCCACGGCGGTAATCAAAGGAGAGTCCGCGGGAAGGGTGACGGTAGTCACACCGTTGCCAGCTTCAGCTACCACAACGGTACAAATGGTGGTAACGGCTTCATCAGAAACAGTCACAACAGCCAGAGTAGGGTAAGCAGTGACCACATTTTCGTAGATAGTCACTTCACCCAAGGGAACTTCACAGGTGGTGGAAACACCTTCAACAACAGTCTCAACGACAACCGCCAGAGACACACAAATTACACCAGAGGCAACGGTCAGAGTGCCAGTAGTAACAGGTTCATCAACAACCTTCGTCTTGGTGTAAGTCTCATGCGCAGCATCGGTAGTAACTTCAACTTCGCAAGGAATAGTCACAGTGACCTTGTCAATAACAGTGGTGATGACAGAAGGAACAGCATGACAAACGGTGCAGGCCTCAGTCACCGTCACAACATCAGCATCAACAGCGGAAGTGTAAGTGACGAGGTTGCCGTTGGAGTCGGTGGTCACGTCAACAACACCAGTGCCAGTCGACACAGAGCCGTCAGGGTTGGTGGTGGTGAAGGTGGTGGTGTACTCAGTGCAGACAGCACATTCGCCAACAGTGGAGGTGTGCGTAACGGGGTTGCCGTTGGAGTCGGTGGTCACGTCAACAACACCAGTGCCAGTCGACACAGAGCCGTCAGGGTTGGTGGTGGTGAAGGTGGTGGTGTACTCAGTGCACGAGGGGCATTCGCCAACAACAGAGGTCGAGGTGGTCAAGTTGCCGTCCGAGTCAGTGGTCACGTCAACAACACCAGTGCCAGTCGACACAGAGCCGTCAGGGTTGGTGGTGGTGAAGGTGGTGGTGTACTCAGTGCACGAGGGGCAGGCAGAAGCGTCAGACGAAGCACCAACGACAGAGGTCGAGGTGGTCAAGTTGCCGTCCGAGTCAGTGGTCACGTCAACAACACCAGTGCCAGTCGACACAGAGCCGTCGGGGTTGGTGGTGGTGAAGGTGGTGGTGTACTCAGTGCACGAGGGGCAGGCAGAAGCGTCAGAAGCGTCAGAGGCGCCAGAGGTGGCCGAAGCGTCAGACGAAGCGTCAGAAGCACCAGAGGTGGCCGAAGCATCAGAAGCAGAAGCGTCAGAGGCGCCAGAGGTGGCCGAAGCGTCAGAAGCAGAAGCGTCAGAAGCACCAGAGGTGGCCGAAGCGTCAGAAGCAGAAGCGTCAGAGGCGCCAGAGGTGGCCGAAGCGTCAGAAGCAGAAGCGTCAGAGGCGCCAGAGGTGGCCGAAGCGTCAGAAGAAGCATAAGAAGCACCAGAGGTAGCTGAAGCGTCAGACGAAGCGTCAGAAGCACCAGAGGTGGCCGAAGCGTCAGAAGCAGAAGCGTCAGAAGCATCAGAGGTGGCCGAAGCGTCAGAAGCAGAAGCGTCAGAGGCGCCAGAGGTGNTGTCGAAGCGTCAGACGAAGCGTCAGAGGCGCCAGAGGTGGTCGAAGCGTCAGACGAAGCGTCAGAGGCGCCAGAGGTGGCCGAAGCGTCAGAAGCAGAAGCGTCAGAGGCGCCAGAGGTGGCCGAAGCGTCAGA